CCCCCCCGTGTCCCCCCGTCCCTCACTATTTCTCAGAGATGCGCTTGGTCTTGCGTTTGTGGTAGAGGGTCATGACGACCACGACGACGACGAGGACGCAGAGCAGGACGGCGGCGATGACCCCCACAACCACCACCGAGGCCGACACCAGGTCCACCCGGCGCACGGGGTCCTCTGCGGGGGACCCAGCCCAAACGGGGGTCAGGGGACACCCAAATACAGGGGGGCACGTGGGAAAGGGGACACCCAGGAAAGGGGGGACACACGGGAAAGGGACACACAGGAAAGGGGGGACAGCCCGAAAAGGGGTCAGGGGACACCAAAACAGAGGGGGACACACGGGAAAGGGGACACACGGGAAAGGGGACACACGGGAAAGGGGACACTGAAAGAGGGGGACACCACACCAGAGAGGGACACACAGGAAAGGGGACACCCAGGAAACAGGGCGACACCTCAAACAGGGGACATCGCCTCAGAGGGGGACATCCAGGAAAGGGGACACTGAAAAGGGGGAACACCCAGGAAAGGGGACACTGAAATGGGGGGACAGCCCGGACAGGGGTCAGGGGACACCACTCCAGAGGGGGACACCTGGGAAAGGGGACAGCCAGGAAAGGGGGGGACACTGAAACGAGGGGATACCTCTAAAGGGGGTCAGGGGACACTGCCCCGGAGAGGAACAGCTGGGAAAGGGGACACCAAAAAGGGGGGACACCTCGAAGGGGGTCAAGGGGACACCACCCTAGAGGGGGACGCACGGGAAAGGGGACACCCAGGAAAGGGGTGGAACACCGAAATGGAGGGACACCACCCCAGAGAGGGACACCCAGGAAAGGGGACACCAAAAAGGGGGGACAGCCCGGACAGGGGTCAGAGGGAGGGATTCAGGTGGATGAGCAGGGGCTGAGTGTCCGGAAGGGCGGGTGAGCGGGCAGGTGAGTAACCGAGGGCAGGTGAGCGGGCAGGTGAGTAACTGAGGGGTGGATGAGCAGGGGATGAGTAGATGGGTGGAGGAGGGGGAGGAGGAGGGTGGGGAAGGCACAGGAAGGGTGGGGAGAGGAAGAGGAGGGAGGGAGGGAGGGATGGATGGATCCAATGATGGATGGATGAATAAGCACATCCACAGATGGTGGATGGTCCATTGATGGATGGATGAGTGATGGATGGATGGAGGGATGGACAGGTGAGTGGGGGGACAGGTGGATGGACGGATGGACATACAGGTGAATGGAGGAGTTGGGACAGGGATGGGTGGAGGGATGGAGGGATGGATGGACAGATGGACATACAGGTGGATTTGTGGATGAATGGATGGATGGATGGATGGATGGGTGGATGGATGGATGGACAGATGAGTGGTTGGGTGGATGGATGGACGGATGGATGTATGGACAGATGGACATACAGGTGGATGGATGGATGGAGGGAGGGATGGAGGGGTGGACAGATGGACGGATGGATGGATGGATGGATGGACATCCAGGTGGATCTGTGGATGGGTGGTTGGGTGGGTGGACAGATGGACGGATGGATGGATGGATGGGTGGACTGACAGATGGATGGATGGACAGATGGAGGGATGGACAGATGGAGGGATGGACGGACTGACAGATGGAGGGATGGACAGATGGAGGGATGGACGGATGGACGGACTGACAGATGGATGGATGGAGGGATGGACGGACAGACAGACAGACAGACGGCCACCAAACCAGACGAACGGGCAGACACAGACCCACAGCCGGACAAACAAACCCCGGGCACCACCCCTTGCCCCCTTCACCCCCCTGCCCCCCGCAGTTCCCCCGCCCCCTTCACCCCCCCGTGTGCCCCCACCTGCCCTCGTGTGCCCACCTGTGGCCCTGCCGCGGATGCTGACGTTGGCCCGGGCCTCCTTGGCCGCCACCCTGTTGGCCACCCTGCACACGTAGTCGCCGGCGTCGGCGGCCGTCAGGGGCCGCAGGAACAGCAGCGTGTCCCCCTTCACACGCACCCCCGACGGCAAAGGAGCGTCCACACTGAGGGGAGGGACAGGGGGGCATTGGATCAGACCCTGGTGGTGGCCATGGGGCCACCACAGTCCCGTGGGTGATGCCCGAGCGCTGGCACCGGGCAGGGAGGGGGGGAATGTGGGTGTGGGGACACAAGAGGGATGAGGGATGGGGGTATGGGGACATGGAAGGGACAGGGGACATGGGTGTGGGGACATGGGAGGGACAGGGGATGTGGGTATGGGGACACAGGGACAGGGGGACAGGGGTGTGGGGACATGGAAGGGACAGGGGACATGGGAGGGACAGGGGACGGGTGTGGGGACATGGGAGGGACAGGGGACAGGACAGTGGGATGTGGAATGGACATGGGGACAGGGCAGGGACATGGGCAGGGGGACACGGGCAGGGGGATATGGAAGGGACAGGGGGGACATAGAAGGGACAGGAGGGACAGGGGACATGGGTATGGGGACACGGGGACATGGCAGGGACAGGGGACAGGGCAGGGATGGGGGACAGGGGACATGGGAGGGACAGGGGACATGGGTATGGTGACGTGGGGACAGGGGACATGGGTGTGGGGACATGGGAGGGACAGGGGACATGGGAGGGACAGGGGGACAGGGGACAGGGGTATGGGGACATGGGAGGGACAAGGGATGTGGGTATGGGGACACAGGGACATGGGGACAGGATAGAGGGACATGGAATGGACAGGGGACCAGGGCAGGGACGGGGGATAGGGGACATGGGAGGGACAGGGGACATGGGTATGGGGACACAGGGACATGGCAGGGACAGGGGACGTGGAATGGACATGGGAATGTGGCAGGGACAGGGAGGGGACACGGCAGGGACATGGGGACAGGGGACATGTCAGGGACAGGGGACACTGCAGGGGCAGAGGGGACATGGAAGGGACAGAGGGACTTGGAAGGGGCAGGGGGGACGTGGCAGGGACGTGGGGACATGGCAGGGACATGGGGACAGGGCAGGGGACAGAGTTGGTCAGGGGGCACAGCAGGGCCATGGCAGGGCCACAGCCGTGCCCGGGGGACCCGGGGGGGACACGGGGGGGGTGGCAGGGCAGGGGACAGAGCTGGGGCAGGGGGCACAGCTGTGCCCGGGGGACACTGGGGGCCCCGAGGGGGTGGCAGGGCAGGGGACAGTGGGGACAGTGGGGCCAGTGTCCTCACCGTGTCCAGTTGTAGGTGGGAGGGGGGTTCCCGTCCCCCAGACACGTCAGGGCCGCCCCCTCCATCCCCTCCTGCCACTCGGCCGTGTGACCCAGCACCGACGCGTCCGACAGGTCTGGGGACACCGGGACACTCAGGGGACACTCAGGGGACACTCAGGGGACACTCAGGGACAGACCCCATGGCCCCACTGTGTCCCCATGGCCCCGCTGTCCCCCCCCCCGTGTCCTTCATCCCCCCCACGGCCCTCGTGCTGCCCTGTCCCCCACATCCCCAAGGTTCTCCACCGATGTCCCCAATGTCCCCTGTGCCCACGGTGTCCCCAACACCACCAATGTCCCCAACGCCCACCATGTCCCCAATTCCCTCCACACCCCTGACGCCCCCCTTGCCCACCATGTCCCCAATGTCCTCCATGTCCCCAACACCCTCCATGTCCACAATAACCTCCATGTCCCCAACACTCTCCATGTCCCTCAATGCCACCATTTCCCCAACGCCCTCCACGTCCCCAACACCCTCCATGTCCCCAACACCCTCCACACCCCTGATGCCCCCTTGTCCCCAATGCCCTCCATGTCCCCAATGTCCTCCATGTCCCCAACGTCCACGTCCCCAACACCCTCCATGTCCCCAACACCCTTCGTGTCCCCAACACGCTCCATGTCCCCAATGCCCATCGCTTCCCCTCTGCTCTACACACACCCCATGTCCCCAACACCCTCTGTGTCCCCAACACCCTCCATGTCCCCAACAGCCCCCATGTCCCCAATGCCCCCCATGTCCCCAATGTCCTCCATGTCCCCAATGCCCCCCATGTCCCCAATGCCCCCCATGTCCCCAACACCCTCCACGTCCCCAACACCCTCCATGTCCCCAATGCCCATCACGTCCCCAATGTCCACCACGTCTCCAACACCCTTCGTGTCCCCAATGCCCTCCGTGTCCCCAATGTCCTCCATGTCCCCAACATCCCCCATGTCCCTCAATGCCACCATGTCCCCAACACCCTCCATGTCCCCAACACCCTCCATGTCCCCAACACCCTCCATGACCCCAGTGCCCTCCACACCCCTGATGCGTCCCTTGTCCCCAACACCCTCCATGTCCCCAACACCCACCATGTCCCTCAATGCCACCATGTCCCCAACACCATCCACGTCCCCAACACCCTCCACGTCCCCAACACCTTCTACACCCCCACCACCCCCCCTACCCCCACCACCCCCCACACCCCCACTCCCACCCCATCGCCCCCTCCTCCCTTTTCCCCCCCCCATTGCCCGGTGCCCGCACAGGCGACGCTGAGGGTGTGCGTGATCCTCTTCTCGTGGCGCAGCCCCGGGTGTGCCACCACGCAGGTGAGGCTCTTGCCGTTCATGCTGCGCCCGGGCACGAGGAAGAACTCGCTGGTGACGGAGGCGGAGCGGGCGTGTGCGGAGCGGCGCGTGGCGTTGGTGCCGCGCACCTCGGTCTCCCAGCGCACCGAGGGCACCGGGCTGCCCTCGGCCGTGCACGAGGCCGCCAGCGTGCGGCCCTGGCCCTCCTCCAGCGGCGGGCCCGGGTTCAGGATGGGCAGGGGGGGCACTGCCAAGGGGGGGGAGCAGAGAGAGAGAGGGGTGAGGCGTGGCACCGGCGTGGATCGCTGGGGGGAACGGTGCCCCCGTGCCTGGCACCGCTCGCCCACCGCGTTGTGCTCGTGGCCCGCTACCCTCCCAATGTGTGTCTGCTGTCCCAGAACATTTGCCCCTTGCCCACCACCCTGTGCCCACCACCCCGTGCCCACCACCCTGTGCCCACCACCCTGTGCCCACCACCCTGTGCCCACCAACCCCATGCCTGTCATCCCCTTCCAGCCACCCCGTGCCCACCACCCTGTGCCTGTTGTCCCCTTGCCCACCACCCTGTGCCCACCACCCCGTACCCACCGTCCCGTGCCTGTTGCACCTTCCCCATCATGCCATGCCCACCACCCTGTTCCCATTGCCCATCTCCCTGTGCCAACCACCCCATGGCTGTCACCCCCTCCCCATCACCCCATGCCAACCAACCCCATGTCCACCAACCCCATGCCCACCACCCCATGCCTGTTGCCTCACCCCATGCCCACCCCCCCACACCCATTACTGTGCCCACCCACCATCCTACATCCATCACCCACCTCCCTGTGCCCACCACCCCATGCCCACCACCCTATGCCCACCACCCCGTGCCCATTACCCACCTCCCCGTACCCACCACCCCATGGCCTTTGTCCCTTCCCCACCAACCCTTCCCCACCACCCTGTGCCCATTGCCCACCTCCCTGTACCCACCACCTCATGCCCGTTGCCCACCTCCCTTCCCCACCACTCCCTCCCCACCACCCCGTGCCCATTGCCCACCTCCCTGTACCCACCACCTCCCTGTACCCACCTCCCTGTACACACCACCCCACGGCTTCTGCCCCTTCCCCACCACCGCGTGCCCACCACCCTGCACCCACTGCCCATCTCCCTGTACCCACCACCTCACACCCCCCACCCTATGCCTGCTGCCCCCTCCCCACCACCCTGTGCCCACTACCCACCTCCCTGTACCCACCATCCCGTGCCCATTGCCCACCTCCCTTCCCACCACTCCCTCCCCACCACCCCATGCCCCCCACCCTACGCCCGCCACCTCACGGCTTTTGCCCCTTCCCCAGCACCCTGTGCCTGTTGCCCATCTCCCTGTACCCACCACCCCACGGCTTCTGCCCCTTACCCACCACCGCGTGCCCACCACCCCGTGCCCATTGCCCACCTCCCCTTCCCCCCCACTCTGTGCCCATCGCCCACCTCCCCATCCCCACCGCCTCGTGCCCCCACCCTCCGCCCCCTGCCCAGCGCCCTCACCCAGCACCCTGAGGGTGAGTCGGCCCTCGAAGTTGCCCATGGGGAAGGTGATGAGGTGGCACTCGTAGTCTCCCTCGTCTCCCTGCACGGCGTTGCGCAGCACGATGGCCCCGTCCTCCAGGGCGCCGTGCCCGTGGCGCAGCACCCGCCCGGCGAAGGGCTCCTGCACGTGCTCCCCGTGCTGCGGGTTCAGCACGGCCACCTCGGCGGGCACCGAGCCCCCCGTGCCACCCGCGCCGCCGCGCTTCAGCCACGTCACCTGCACCACCTGCTCCTGCTCCTGCGCCCGGTACCGGCACGGCAGCACCACGTCCTGCCCCAGCACCGCCGTCACGCTGCGGGGCACCTCAACGCGCCCACCCCGGGCACCTGCGGGGACACCATGGGCACAGGGTGGGCACAGGGTGGGCACAGGGTGGGCACAGGGGGGACACAGGGATGTGGCACCTCAACGCGCCCACCCCGGGCACCTGCAGGAACAGGACAGGGACAGGGTGGGCACAGGGTGGGTATAGAGTGGGTACAGGGTGGGTACAGGGATGTGGCACCTCAACGCGCCCACCCCGGGCACCTGCGGGGACAGGGGGGGGAACAGGGTGGGCACAGGGTGGGCACAGGGTGGGTACAAGGGGGACACAGGGATGTGGCACCTCAACGCGGCCACCCGTGCCACCTGTGGGGACAGGAGAGGGCATGGTGGGCACAGGGGGCACACAGGGATGTAACACCTCCACACGGCCACCCGTGCCACCTGCGGGGACAGGAGGGTGGACAGGGTGGGCACAGGGATGTGGCACCTCAACGCGGCCACCCCGGGCACCTGCGGGGACAGGAGGGGACACGAGGTGGCCACAGGGTGGGCACAGGGGGGAAACAGGGATGTGACACCTCCACACGGTCACCCCTGGCACCTGCGGGGACAGGAGGGGGGACAGGGTGGGCACAG